AGAGAGAGAGAGAGAGAGAGAGAGAGAGAGAGAGAGAGAGAGAGAGAGAGAGAGAGAGAGAGTGAGAGAGAATGAGAATCATGGGGATTCTGTGAAAAAGTTATACTTTTACTAAATCACACCTAATTTTGAGCCTGCAGTTGGATTTCATCCCCATTTTTATACTACAAACAGAATAAAAATGGGAATGCAATCCAACTGCAGGCTTGAAATTAAGTGTGATTATAACAGAGATCTGCCTGCCTTTCCCCCTGTAGATTTCAAACATTCTCAAAACCAGGCTGTGTTGAGCAAGAGGAACAAAATTCTACTACCAGAATTGAAGATGTTTCTTGGATGAGAAACGAAACATCTTCAAGAAAAAACAAAAGTCCAGTTGCCTTTTGGAAAAGTACTTTGGGGACAATCATGACCTGGATGACTGAGACTCTCCATAGATGAACAAAATTCTACTACCTGAACAAAAAGCCTATTTGACCGGAGTTGGATTTTATCCCAGTTGCTTTTAAAAAGGAAATCTTCAAATCAAACCAAAACTGAAGAGATTTCTAGCCTTCAAAGTTGCATAAAAATACTTTCTCTTTAAAGAGCCTTTAAGTGGCACAATTTCCTTCCTTTTGTTCTACATGCGCTAATCCGTCTCCCTTGTATTTTAAGAAATCTTTCAGAGTTCCACATCCTGTAAAAAAAAGAAATCACAATGATAAAGTTATTACTCGCTCTAAATATATTTGTAATTTATTACAATCGCTGTTCCAAGACATATCCAATTTTAGTGCAAAATGTTTTCTTATCCATTTAGTAGCCCTGCCTGTTTTCTCTAAATATGGGTGTGAACACTGCCAAAATACCATATTTCCATATGAGAGCAGCAACTACCATTTATTTGCCTTATATAAGGCAACCGCCATGGAAGATGAAAATAGGAATTGCATATATCTCCAGTTCTCTACCTCTGCGGCTTCCAAAGTGGTATGCCTACATCCCAGAGGTGTGCAAAATCATGTACTGAGGTTCAGGAAGAAAATATTAAAATATCTATTTGCATTTATTTTTTAATCCAAAAATGGAAAATTAATCTATTCTAAGAGTACACAAAATATACCAGAGTCTATGTTTTATAATGTACATATTGGTCCAAAGTACATGGATAACATTTAGAAATCAATAAACATATATTGGGAGGGCATGATCAAAAATGTTTTATTGATATGGGTACAGATTAAAAAAAAGTTTGGAGACCGCTTCTTTAGATCATTGCTTAATATTTCAAACTCACTTTTAAGAAAGTACTTTATTACGGTACAGCAATGAATGAAACCACTTGTTCATCAGAACAGAAAGCAGAGTGGATCTTTGCATAAAAGGTTATCAAAAAAATAGTCAAGATACCAATCTTGAGGTCCTAATCAAGTGGTTACATCCCAGAGAAAGTTTGTCACCATTATGTATAAAGAAACACAGCCCAAATGCTTTCAGACTTATTAATATACCTGAGAATGATTGAATCTAACCTTTAAAAACAACAACACAAGAAACCACATAAAAAGGTTTCTCAGCATCGTAATATATGCCTCCACAAAATATGCTATACACAAAAGTATTTAAATTAAAGAAATAACTGCACAGTTGCAACTAAAGCCCAGAAAATTCACATTTTCCCCCCTGAGAATGAGATGAAAAATACTTTTTTGTTTGGCATAACTGAACAAGCGGAGACTAGAGTTCTTTAATTAAACAGTGCCCCATAACTAGTTGTTTACTAGGAAATCCTTTCTATACTTTCCCCCACCACCACAAAATGAGTCACATACAATGAAGAACTTTTACATTTTGTAAATGTTCACCTTCATATTTTCTCCTCATTTGTACAGCCTTGTGCAGTTCTTCAAACACATGCCAACTTCATGTGAAATGTAGGTAGTGGAATTGATTACAAGAAGCTATAATTTATTTATTTTTTTGATGTTGCTGATACAAGACAGAAAACATCAGGAGCATCTAAGAAAATACTTAAATAATTCTATGAGACCATCTATTTCCCAAACTCAAAAGCCTGTGTCCTAAATTGCTAAAGTAATTTCAAAATAAGCATTACTGTTTCTATTTTTATTTTCTTGTAACACTGTAAACAAGTATTTCAGGATTCAAAAGCTTGACAATAATAACTGAGCACTGCAAAAATTAAGGGAAAATAGGTAACTTTTTAAATAAAAGAAAATAAAAATAAAGCTATCTGCGGCCTTTCAGCAGGCATTTTACAATATAGAGAACACTACATATTTTGCTGCTGGTTTGTTTTGTTTTAAAAAAGGGGAAAAAATCATGTTTTAACCTTCTGCTCTTCCACCGATCTTCATCCCATTCTTGGCTGCATTTTTCAAAGACTTCCCAATGAACCCGCAACACCCAGCATCAAAAGGGGTATGAACCCTTGGCAATCATTTAGGAATACCAATATACAACTAACACGCCTGCCTACCCATTCCTACAATAAGCTGAAGACCCCAAATAGCTGTCTCAAATCACTCAGAACTCAGAGCTTGTCCCAACTCAGACAAGCTCAAAATTGTATGGGATTAAGATCTGTGCTGGTAATCAGCTGGCAAGAGATGTGGAGGAAACTGGCAAAGTACAGCTATATCATTGGTGTGTTGGTGACTTCATCTACACTCACTTTGCCATCGGTTGGCCAATGAAATCTGCCTCAAGCCATCGGGGAAACGTCTACTGATAAATCACTTAAGGTAGACTGTCCCAGCTTTGAAAAATACAGATGTGTCTTCTATTCTTCAACTGCAGGACCAAACACTGTAGCTCAAAGGGGGAGCACTGAATTATCCTATCCTCCAGTTGGGGACCAGGCCATAATGATAGAGCCTTGCGGCACTCACTTGAGGCATGGAACTAGGCCGGTCCAGAGTTTCCCCACAATGGTAAAGCTGTCTCAACTTGATCATTCCTTTGGAAAAGTTCCACATGGCCAGTGGCTCCCAACTGGGAAAGTTGGCCCCATTTATTTAATGCTCCATGCCACATTTCTGGCAATGCATCAAGGAACTGAGCAGTCACCACCAAATGCAATAGAAAGGAACAAAACATCTAAAATTCAATTCCACAATCAAGTACAAATATTTACCCAGCTTGGTCCATCAGCAACTGAGTAACTTTAGTTGCAGGAAGTGGGGTTTTTTTTTTTACAACTATAACTTTACAACTTTTTTTACAATTTTGTATCCAGGGGTAGAAATGCCTATTTTGTTTTTGCATATGCTAGAAAACAAACCAACTTAATTGTAGCCTGTATTTTCCTTTCCCCCCAAAACCACTAAGCTGTGGCCTATTTGGCATCTCATCTTATATTAGCCCATGTCTTAAATTTAAATCATTTAAATGTACAACAGAAAAGGTTCTTTAAAAAGCGATGTTAAAAGCTCCAAAATTCATAGGACTCACTGCAGAGTCATCTACAGGATCAATCAAAAAAAAAAAAATCAAAATAGTGAGTATTCATCGGGAGCCCGTTTTTTTCTCCTGCGTCACAAAAAAAAAGGGCTGAACTTTTAACCATATGGTCATGAGCACCATTTTGATTTTACTGACTCCCTGACATGTATTTTAACAAATGTTAAAATATTTCAGAATCTGGGAAACACTCCAATGTATGCACAATTTAAGAAGCTTTCACACCTGCAGAAACCAAAGTACTGATTCTTCACTGTCCTTGAAATTTAGTTACATCTGCTTAAAAATGGAAATGAATAATGAGGCTTGATTGCTCTCTACATAACTATCTCCTAAAAGTGTGTCATAGCAACAAGAGGCAAAAAAAAAAACCCAGACGGATAATTAAACTAAAACCTTTCCAAATTCATTCGTTTGCTTGCAAAGAATGTGGAATTAAAATAGAGATTGAGAGATAAACTGCTTTTTTTTTTTTTTTTTGCAGAAATCTGGTAGATGATTGCTGAATTGCTCTCCTTCCAAGAACTCGGCTGAAATATTACTTAACTGCCTGGAGAGTGAGTAAAGCCTCACAACCAGTCATTTCAACTACAATTTTTATTACTTCACTGACTTTTCTCCTACATCTTATTTCCTGAACTATCAGTAAACAAGTCCCCAAAGAGTGAACTATTATATGTGGATAAAAAAAACCAAAAACATTGTCATGTGTTTATATTTTGATGGATTAAGAAGGGAGCCAGCTTCTCAAGGATTGTTCTCCTCTTAAACTGACCCAGAGTTTTAAAGGGATTTCATTTGTTCAATTAACGTGTAAATATAAACAGGCAGCAGAGGAGAAGTATTTGCAAAGCAATTCTATTAAATCCTTAATACACAAATCTGATGATTATTTCCTAACCAGAACATAGCCATCCACACACTCGCAGAGACGGACACCGGCTTTTCCACTCCTCCTTGCTTAATATGGCAGGGTAAGATGTCACCCAGTTCCTTGCCCACCAAAAGTGGCAGGCAGTCAAAGTAGAAGAGAAATAACTTTACTTTTGGGGGGAGGTGCGCTTTCTGCTTTCCATGTTTCCTTGTTGTGCGGATTCAGGCCTACTTAGGCCACTTGGAACAAACTTTTTGAGATTCTGCTCGGACAACCTCATCAAGTGTCCTCTGCTGCCGAGCGAAGAGAGCAAGGACTTCATTGGGCAATCTTCCCACTAGAGATTCAGGCCCTTTGGAGAAGGAGCAGGTAAAGAGGATGGGACGCTTCCACTGCCTTTCAAGTAATCTTGAGGGGAGACTTCTTGTGAGCACAGAGGAGAGTGACATAGGGGACCCCGATGAATGCCCACTTCTCACTGGGCCAGAACTTGATGACGGGACCTTGTTCGGGGATCTCGGAGACAGCATCAAAATAGGCAAAGCAGACGCAGCCCAAGTAAGCTGCAATACAGATGAGGATGTGCCTGGAAAAGACAGAAGCAAAAGGACTTAAGGGTTGTTTTGATTTCAGGTCTTAGAACATAGAATAATAGAGCTGGAAGGCATCTGGAGGTCTTCTAGTCAGACCCTCTACCGTTTCAGACAAATGGTTGTCCAGTCTTTTTTTGAAAACCTTGAGTGATGGAGCACCCACAACTTTTGAAGGCAAGCTATTCCATTGGTTGATTGCTCTCACCCGTTAGGAAATTTCACCTTAGTTCTAGGTTGCTTCTTTCCTTGATTAGCTTCCATCCATCGTTTCTTGTCTTGCCTTTTGGTGCTTTGGAAAATAGTTTGACCCCCTTCAACTTTGTAGGAGCCCCTCAAATATTGGAACAGTGCCAACAGTGTCCACTCTAGTCCTTCTTTTCATTAGACTAGACATACCTAATTCCTATAACCGTTCTTTGTATGTTTTAGCCTCCAGACCCCTAATTGTTGCTGTTCTCTGCACTCTTTCACAAGGAGGAGCATCGCTTGGGGTCAGTGGAAGCAGCAAAGTATGCAATTTGCAGGGAAGAGCAACTACGAAGCTTCCTCACGAAGTGGAGAGCTTTTGTACGAGTTTTATTTTTATACTACTCACATAGCAACACAGAAAACATTCAGTAGCTGCTCTGCCTTCTGTTGTACCCTGGAAACAGGGTGTAAAACAGATTGTGTGTGTTGTGAAGGCAAGCTTGGATCCCAGGGCTCCACTCGAGGACACTGAGAGGGCCCAGGGGGAGTTGTTAACACTTTTATATGTGCATTGGCAACTTTTTCCTCTCTGGAAAGAAGGCAGATTAGCTTCCTTTCTCAGAGATGCTGATTTGAGATCTCACAATATGAACCAGCTGCTTCTAGGAGTACTGGCTCTCTGGTTTAAGGGAAATAAGGTTCCAATCAGGATTTGAAGCAGAAATGGAGGTAGTCCTTGGTTTGTGGGCCACCTGGAGCCCCTGGACTATTTTTTTAGCGATTCCAAAGACCCTCAGACTCTGAAATTTGATAATCTGTCAAAAATAGGAGACGTTGATTATAGCTAGGAAATAATGGTTTAAACCAGGGGATCCAATCTTGACAACTTGCTGAGACTTGTGGACTTCAACTCCCACCGTTCCTCAGTCAGCATAGCTGATGGGGAATTCTGGGAGTTGAAGTTCACAGATCTTAAAGTTGTCAAGGTTGGACACACCCCCCCCCCCCGGTTTAAACTTCGAAACAGACTTCCAGCACTGTTCCCTCAATATTCCACCCCTAGCTACAGCATCCCTGCAAAATCTCAGAAAAATCTTTGCCCCTAGTGCAGGGGTAGGCAACCTTGGCTCTTTTATGACTTGTGGACTTCAACTCCCAGAATTCCTGAGCCTGCATGGCTCAGCTTGGAAACCTCTCCCTTTCCCCTCAGCATGGCTGGCTCAGGAATTCTGGGAGTTGAAGTCCACGAGTCATAAAAGAGTCAAGGTTGCCTAACCCTGGCCTAGTGTAATCCCTCTGCTATCTTGTGTCATTATTCCACCTACTGTAACCTGTAGCACCTCCACCCAAAAATATCAGCCTCTAGTTATGAAAGGAGGCCCAGCAATTTCCTTATTCTTGGGAATCTTAACACACCCTATTATGCTATTGCCAGAACACAAATGAGGGAACAGAAATATATTTTTCTACCAGAATTTACTTCTTTAGTGCTGTCTAACTTGACTGATTTAAGGAACAAACTAATCACCAAAACCACCTTAAGCGAGATCTGATTTTAATATGAAACACACCAAGAAATCGTGCTGCTATTACAATGAAAACAGGTATATATACCAGCAAAGGGAAATACTTAAAAAAGGAGAATAAAACTAGGACTCACCATACGCAGTGTAAATAAGGAAAATTAAAAGATGACCAAATCTCACAAAATACTTTGTCACTAATCCAACAAAATAGTGCCAACATCCACCACAGTCCAGAAAATAGTCCCAGCTTATACACTCGGACATTGTCACACCTAGAAGCAAAAGTGATAACTGGGAGTTATATCAGCAATAGTGTAAAGGAATAAAACATTTGGAAGCTTAAATCAACTTGGATTATTGATCAAAATACAGTTTTTAGTAAGTCTGTTGAATTACTGATTTTAACAAATGAAATATCAGAGATAGGAATGTCCACAGGTTATGGTCCAAAAAATCGAGATAGACTGATCGAAGCTCAGCCCAAAAACCACACTGCAATGTAGCCACTACCTTTTGGGACCATAGCTGACCAGAAGCATGCAAGCAGCCAAATCTCAAGTATAGGAGATGTCACAGAATTTGAACTTACTGGACTTATTCTTCTACCTAAAAAGGCGAATTTGAAGAATTCTGCTTCCTTCTGCAACAATATAGCATCACCTAGTGCAGGGGTAGGCAACCTTGGCTCTTTTATGACTCGTGGACTTCAACTCCCAGAATTCCTGAGCCAGCCATGCTAGCTCAAGAATTCTGGGAGTTGAACTCCACGAGTCATAAAAGAGCCAAGGTTGCCTACCCCTGACCTAGTGCAATAACGCTTGGGGGGAGATGATTTTTGCTTACTGAGAAGAAAATCTAACATCTATCAGATTTCTTCCATGAGTTCAATTTTGGTTTAAATTTGGTATTGTATATACATGGTTTATATCAATTACATATATATGTGGCACCACTACCCTGGTCCATAACTTATTATGAGATTTCTTTGAGCATTTACCATGGATGATTTGAATTTTCATTGATGGCTACCCTGTACTACGGCATCTAGTCCAGGTTCTGTATTTAGGGGAGTATTCTTTGTATTTAACATCAGAGCTTCTAAAGCCTCAAAATGGGGTTCAGACCACGTGCTACACTTGGAGATACTAACTTTATTTTAAGTTATGTATCGAGCAAGTTTATAAGGGGGGGAGAGTAAGAGTACTTCTCCTAGGACCACACTACCACCGAAAAAGCCAAATGACAACTTTCAACTAGAAACAGGATGAGGTTGTGCTGGAACAAACTTCACCAGCACTGGAGAGCCCATTTGGTCTAGTCCAGGGGGAGGCAACCTTGGCTCTTTTATGACTCGTGGACTTTAACTTCCAGAATTCCTGAGCCAGCTGGCTCAGGAATTCTGGGAGTTGAAGTCCATGAGTCATAAAAGAGCCAAGGTTGCCTATCCCTGGTCTAGTCAGTGGTTAAGGTACCAGGCTAGAAAAGGGGAGACTGTGAGTTCTAGTCCCCCCTTAGCCATGAAAGCCAGCTGGGTGATCTTGGGCCAGATCCTCCTGCTCAGACCAACTCACCTCACAAGAACTGTGGTTGTGTGGAACATAGGAGAAGGAAGGTATGTTGGATATTTTCACTGCCTGGAGTTATTTGTAAAAATAATAAAGGCGGGTTCTAAATAAATGAATTACTCATACATCTAAGCGTAATTTATCTGCTTTGTCTCAGCCAGTCTGGTACATACCTTTTCAGTTCTGCAATAAGCAGGGCGCTGCAGGGAAGACCCAATGTCATCAAGGAGATGTTATTAATGGCGGGCTTAACAAAGGCGAGACAGGTAGTGACTCCAGAAAGAATGCCCACTGCTGCTTTGAACCGGCCTCTGCAAAATTATATATATATTTTAAATAGTATCACTCGGGGATGAAATAAAAACATAAAAACAGGTGTCAAAAACTATTTGCACGGTAGAATTAATGCTTCAGGTGTTTGAGGGAAGAAAAACAGCCACAAGGTTTGCAAATCCAAATGCATTTGTTTTAAAGGACTATGCGGAATGGAGGACCACATACTTGACTTACTTAGAAAATGGATATACTGCCCATTTCCAATTGTTTGCAAAAATGTACAAGTACTGTAGTCCTCGACTTATAGCCAGGAAATTTGGTCGCAAGTTGTTGCAGTCGCCATGTGATCAGACTTTGATTTTACAACCGTTTTTTTTTACAACAGCCATTAAGTGAGTCGTGTGAATCAAATCCAGCTTATCCAATGGATATTTTTTGACAGAAAATGGCAAAAAAAAAAAAAAGTCACAAAACGTGATCACGTAACACTGGGATATTGCAACCAGTAATAAATGTGTCGGTTGTCATGTGCCCAAAATGCAATTGCATGACCAGGAAGTGCAGCACTTGTAACTTTTTGAGAAGAGGTTGTAAGTCCATTGTAACTTTGAATGGTCGTTAAGCAATCAGTCATAAGTCAAGGATTACCTGTAATAAAATGAAACAATCACCACTTCTGTAAAAGGCATTTCACTCTAGATCCTAGGTGAATAGGAATAATTTAAAACCCCTCTCCAGTAACACGGAGAGGATCTAATTTAATTCCAGCAACAGTTTGTTCCACTTGCATTATGGAAAAAAAAACCAACAAAGTAATTACGGACAACAAAATGTATCTGTAGCAAGATCTGGAAACAGTGCCTTGTTGTGGACCCAAGAATGCAAAGCAAACAATAAAGGAATAAATGTCAAGAAGGATAAGGGTCATAATTAAGTTCCAGTTCAGAAGATTTATTGCTCCATCCTAGGCACAAGAATCTAGTCAAGTACAGTGTGTAGAAAGCCTTATACAACTTAGACCAAAGTTAGGCATAAAACAACTTGATGTAGGAAAAGAACAGGCAGAACGAGTTGAGCCCAACCCTTCCTGAATTCCGTTGACCCTTATCTGATGAGGATTTATTCACAACAGAAGTCAGGAAGGGTTGGACTTAGACCGTTTGTGAGAACATAACGACTCTAGGCTGACGAGTTGCTTAACTTGCTCTGCCTGCTCTTTTCCTACATCATGTTGTCCTATGCCTAACTGTGGTCTAAGTTGTGCAAGACTTTGTCCACTCTTTGTCCACTGATTAATATTTATGTTACTTATATGTAAGGGTGTAAGTCTATACACATGTTGTATATAGTATGTTTAAATATGTGCTGTGCATGTGTACACTTTGAGAGCAAGCAACTAAATTTTGTTTTTAATGTGTGCCATTGTGCCCACACTAAAAAAAAGTGACAATAAAGGTTATCTATCTATCTATCTATCTATCTATCTATCTATCTATCTATCTATCTATCTATCTATCTATCTATCTATCTATCTATCTATCTATCTATCGTAAGCACTCTGAATTGCGTTCAAGAAAGCAAAAGGCAAAGTGAGCTATTTGGTCATTTCCAAGGTGATTCTATTCGTCATCATACTCATCACTGCACAACTGCTTTCTGTGCCAAGTACAATTTTGGCGCTGACTTTATGGGTGACCACATAAAGAAAATTCTGAGGATATGACTACATGAACCACTGATACCAGGTTGCTAGTTGAGGATTACCTGTATGGGTCGAGCTACAGGATGAGACCAAACAATGAGCTTGATTTAGGAATTCATCAGAATATATCAACAGCTCTCCCTTTAAATGAGCCCCTATGCTATGCTGTTCATACTCCCAAATGCTAAATGTTGTAAGTGGCAAAAGGTAATTGGTCCTCTGAGAATTACAGCAGAACTGGTAGAAGAGTTTATGAACTGGCATCCAATTCTTACTACACATAAGGCTGTAAGCAGAGCTCGTACCCTATCGCCTATTTCATCAGCCCATTTGTGAGATGGTAGCAAATGTTTTTTAAAAAAGAAGAAACAGTGAAAATAGTTGTCTGGTGAATGAGAAAAAAGGCATTATAAAGGCATGTTTGCTGGAAAAAATGGAAGGTGCAAGGAGAATATTGTATAATGTGTATTAGTACCGTTTTATAAAACCCTAGTGAGACCACAGCTGGAATACTGCAACCAATTTTGGTCACCATAATACAAAAAAGATGTTGAGACTTTGGAAAAAGTACAGAGAAGAGCAACTAAGATGATCAAAGGCCTGGAGACTAAAACATATGAAGAACGGCTGCAGGACTTGGGTTTGGCTCGCCTAAAGAAAAGAAATAGGGGTGACATAATAGCAGTATTCCAGTATTTGGGGGGGCTGCCCCAAAGAAGAGGGGCCCCCGTTATTCACCAGAGGGCAGGACAAGAAACAATGGTTGGAAACTGATCAAAGAGAGAAGCAACCTGGAATTAAGGAGAAACTTCCTAATAGTGAGGACAATTAACCAGTGGAACAGCTTGCCTTCAGAAATTGTGGGCACTCCATCACTGGAGATTTTTAAGAAGAGACTGGACAGTCACTTGTCTGAGATGTTATAGATTCTCCTGCTTGAGCGGGGGCTGGACTAGAAGACCTCCAAGGTACCTTCCAGTTCTATTCTATTCTATTCTATTCTATTCTATTCTATTCTATTCTATTCTATTCTATTCTATTCTATTCTATTCCTATTCTGTATACAAAAAAAATCATTTGCAAAAACTGTAGTTACAGAACAAGGACTATAGATAATATTCAAAGAGAAAATGCAGAACAATTTTGGAAATTAAAAAAAATTGTTTTGGATGTGGAAGAAGAGGGAGAAACACAAAGACTGCAGAAGAGTGATTAGAATTAAAAATAAAAGTGACATGATCATTCTGGATGAAACTGAAGTGAGGGAGGGTTTAAAGGAATATTTTATAGATTTTTCTGGGAATTACAGGGAGTTAGTTTGGTGTAGTGGTTAAGGCACCAGGCTAGAAACCGGGAGTTTTTGAATTTTAGTCTTGCCATAGGCACCAAGCTAGTTGAGTGACCTTGGACCAGTCACTCCCTCCGCCCTGGGAAGCAGGAAATGAGAGTCAACACGACTCAGAGGCATATATGCAGAGAATTAAAACAAACACTGGGTTATTGCCCCCACCATGATGAAAAAAAGGTAATAAAAGCTGTGAGAATATAGACATTTGGGAAGTAAGAAAAACTGACTTGTTGCCATCCTGGGGAGAAAAAAGCCAGTATTACAATAACAAAAACAAGCCTCAGAAAATACAGGCAGTTCTCAACTTATGACCACAATTGACCCCAAAGTTTCTGTTGCTAAATGAGACAGCTGTTATGTTGGTTGTTAAGTGAATCTGGCTTGCCCACTGACTTTGCTTGTCAGAAGGTCTCAAAAGGTGATCCCAGGACACTGCAACCGTCATAAATATGAACCATTTGCCAAGCGTTTGAATTCTGATCGCGTGACCATATGGAGATGCTGCAACAGTCGTTAAGTGTGAAAAATGGTCATAAGTCCCTTTTTTCAGTGTCACTGAAACTTCGAATGGTCACTAAATGAACTGTTGTAAGTTGAGGGCTACCTGTAACGCAAAAACCCTGAGGTTGGTCTGACTGCCATTAGCTATGAAAGAGGGAATGGTTTTAAATAGATCTGAATTATGAAAGCACTTTCAACCAAATTTTGGCACCAAGGTCAAATCTAGCAGCGGGGGTGAAGGAGAAGTGCAAAAATACAATGCACCCATATCATAACCAGAGGTTTTTAGCAAGGCTGAACACCGTAGTAAAATTCTCTGTAAAAACCTTGCACTCTTGGCCCTTTTATTTGCTGAATGGGACTGGTGCAGGCTGCGCTTGGCTCAGCCAGACCTTCTGCCTACCTTGGAGGCCGCCGGGGTATGCTCAGTGCCAGGTATCTCAAGCTGCTCCTATCCTTGCAATAATCCTCAATCAATGTCAGCCACAACACTCACATCTGTTAGGGCTCAACCACAATGCTACCCCAGAGTGACAGCAATGCCGAAGCACAGAAATCTTGTAGACCATCAAAAGGATGGAGACTTTCTCAGATGCGTGGGTGCGTGCGCGTGCGTGTGTGTATTGTATAAAATTACTGACTTTTGTTCAGTAAATCGCCAACCTAGAAACCGTCTCTGAAGGGCTGGATATAAATCCCTAAAGTAAAGGGTAATTTCTCAAATCCAGATTGCCTGATGACGATGGGAGCTGTAGTTTAATACATGTAAAAGGTGGGGGACAACTAAGCTATTTTTCATAATTTGTCACATGGCAAATAAAGCCTTGGTGAGTAATCGGCCATATATGTATGAGAGATAGAGCGAAAGAAAGGGATTAATTGCAAATATGATATCTGTGCTCCTCTCGTCTTTGCTCTGGGGCTCAGGGCTACATGTTAATCCTATAATCTTTTTTGGGAAGAGCTGCTGAGGGATTAGACCAACCATCTCTAACCCAATTCTCTCTCATTACCCCAGCAACTGCCAACAAACATGCCACTTGAAAAATCCTAAACCTTTTCATAGATTTTTTTCCTTGTGTCAGTATTTCAGCCTGCTTGGCCTTATCTATAACGTTACGAAGAGCATCCTAAGTTCAGAGGAACTGAATGCTATATTGGTGGCAGCTATGATATATAGCACTGAAGAATCCAGGCAGAAAAACTAGATTCTAGTAAGACCAAATTCACCCAGAACAAACAGGTTTAGCCACAATCACCCGATGGGAATATACCTATATACCCCTAAAACTCTCATTGTCATGACCTTTATGGGCAAAACGGTGCATCCTAGGACACCGACTTTAAACCAAGGTACCTCAAATGAGCTAACTTACAATATGCGTTCAAAATTCCAGATCCATGATTTTTGAGGAATGAAATCTGGGAAAGTTGTGGCTGCTTCAGAGCTAATGGCTGCTGCTGCACTGCTGCTATGGTCAGGTAAACTTCATTTTCAACCTTTCATGACAGTTTCCCAGCCAGTCCAGCAATCCCCACCCAGCAACAGCCACTTAACTTGCTGAAAGAGAAGGGAATTGGAAGGAATAGGGAAGGAAAAAAGGGAGGAGGAAGGCCCATGCAGCCTTCTGACCCATACTGACCCTGATCTATACTGGCACCAATGCAACATCTCTGACTTGCATGGCGCATCTCACATACTCTCAAGCATCCCCAGGCACCTTTCTCTACCAGCAACCTCCCCATGTGCTCTCCCCAATCTACAAGGCACCTCTCACACAGCCGTGACCCACACTCACACCCTTCATGACCTACGCCACGCTTTTGCGTACCCTGCCTGACCAATGTGTCATCTCTTATACGTCCCCATGATCCCCACACAAGGGGCTGCATTCTACCTGACCTATGTGGCATTTCTTGCACACACCCACAGCCTCTTCCTGAACTGAGCAGCACCTCTTGCACATCCCCATGCACAATTCCTGACTCACAGCCCAGCATACCACTTGTGGGAGGGCAGAAGAAGGGAAGAGAAGGGAAGGCTGCCCATCAGTTTCCCACAAGAAAACTCTATAGGAAGTTGGGAGTAGCTCCCACACTCACTATTTTACCCACTTGTGGTCATTCTATTTCTCTGTTTAAGGAAGGAAATATGTCTGAACCAATGACCCATTGGGACATCAATTTACTTAATTTATATCCCACATTTATTGTTTTTCTAGACAACTCAAAGCAGTGATCATACCTAATGCTCCTTACTCCTCCTGTTTTCCCTCCTCTACAACAGTTCCGTGGCTGTGAATTGGGCTGAGTGTGTGTGACTCGTCCAAGGTCCCCCAGCCAGTTTTCAGGCCTAAGGCAGGAAACTCATCATCTCCCGGTTTCTAGAGTGGTGCCTTAATAACCCACTAGACAAAACTAGTTTGTGTAGTTCTTCCGAACTGGGTAAATTCCCTCAAGACCGTGCCCTTTAATTTTCCAGCCAACATGCAAAACAATCTTGAACTTTAACATTTATCTTCTGCCTTTTTTTTTGCATCAGTTATCAGTTATGTTATGAGGCAGCTACTTAAATACACTTTCCCTAATCTTAAATTTTGTGGCTAAACTGGGAGAAGAACCTGCTTTGTCTTCTGCTTGGTCATTTGTCTATCACAGGCAGCAACAGGAAGACTATAACATTGGGAGGGTAGCTGCAGGGCAAGTTGGAGCAGCTGTAACTGAGCTGAATCCCAATCTGTTTGCCTATAGAAAGACAGACCTAAAGCTAAGGCTAGCTTACCACACATCAGTTCTAATTTCCTGCACTTGTTTTTGTCAAGAATCACCTTTCTGTGTTCTTTCTTTCAAGAAAACGGACATGATATTAAGGCACAAAAGCTGAACACAATGCTTTCCAGAGATATTTACCTGTCATTCCTAAACATTTTGGGTAGATACCTTCTGGGGAACCACATAGCCAGAGCACACATCAGGACCCAAAGTATAGCAAGTTCATCGAGCATCTGACCCAGAAAGCTAAGCGTAGCATGGAAGTAGACAGATCCAATCCCTGCAGAGATACAATAAACAATTATTATTCTACCACTAAGGCATGGTCATATCACTGTTTTCCAACGGCTGTCTGAAAATGAAGACTTTGTACGTTAGATGAAACATACAATTAAAAAGTTATGAAGAAAAAGACATCACTCGCCCTCCAAAAGCAACATTAATTTTAATGTACCTGTCCGCCAAATCTTCAATTTGCGAAGATTTTGCTTAGCCAGCTAGTCTTATGGAAATATTTAATTCAGAGATTCTGAAAAGCATGGAAGCAGGAAAAATCCTGTGTAGTCCTTTTGTCGAGAGCAGGGATTCCCAACCGGGGATGCGAGACGACACTCCAGGGAGTGCGGACACTTGGGTTTTCAAAATTATAGTGCATATGCATAATTCGTTGCCGTTATTTCAAACTTTTGTAAGGGGTGCGATAATATATAAGAAGCGTTCTAGGGTGCAGGGTATAGAAAAGGTTGGGAGCCACTGGTCTAGAGCAGGGGTCCTCAACCTTGGCAACTTTAAGACTTGTGGACTTCCACTCCCAGAATTCCTTAGCCAGCTGGCTAAGGAATTCTGGGAGTTAAAGTCCACAAGTCTTAAAGTTGCCAAGGTTGAGGACCCCGGCTCTAGAGGAATAATTAATGATTTTCCCCATATAATTATCTTTTATTCTTAGATTTTTATCCTGTTTTTATATACTGTATTTGGTCAACTCAAGGTGGTGAAAATACTTAATACAGTACTCCCAATAGAAGAGAATATCTGTAGCCCAGGATTGAACTATGGGGGTCTTGGTACTCTCCGAGCTTGGTTGTTTTCTTGCAGGTGTTTTATTACCAAACTAGGTAACGTTATCAGTGGGGTTTGCTCTCTTTTTATACACTAGTGACTTTCTTGTCAGTATTGATGGAAGTGCTCTTGGTGGTTCCTTGATTAAGCTCTCGTTTGTTTGTTGGACTGAGTTGGTAGCTCCTTGATTGGGGTATCGTTTATTTCTTGATTATTGCTCTAATGCTAATCTTGGTGTTAATCTCTGCTCATCTGGGTGCCGAGTAATGGTGAGGTTGTGGTCTTTTTCTTTTTTGGTTATATGCCTCTTTTTTAATAATATTTTTTATTGATTTTCTGTATTTACAATTCATAAGTGCTTAGTAAATAACATGTTGTCTGGGTCCAATTTGCTTAATAGTACACATTAAAATCCTAATCCTGTTTTTCCAGCCATTGATAAAATACATCCCATATTTGCAAATATTCTTTTTCTTTAATTTTCAATGTCAGTCTGTCCATTTCTGCACAGTCTAGTATTTTCTTGATTATCTCTTCTTCAGATGGTATTTCTTCATTTTTCCAGTGCTGGGCAAATACAATTCTTGCTGCTGTTAATACATGCAACATCAAATATGTGTTTTATCATATTTTTCTGATATTATACCTAATACAAATAATTCCGATTTAAAATCTACATGTTTCTTAATATCTTTTCTAGCCAAATGTGTATTTTTCTCCAATTTTTTTTTTTGCTTTAGGACACATCCAACAAATATGATAGTACATCCCTAGTTTTTGCTTACATTTCCAAATATTACTAGAATGTTTTTAAACAATTGTGCTAACCTCACAGCCGTTAGATGCCATCTATAAAACATTTTATATAAGTTTTCTTTATAAGCAGTTGCCATTGTCAATGTATAGTTTCTTTCCCATAAATTTTGCCATTTCTCTAATTCTATATTGTGCCCCAAATTTTTTGCCCATATTATCATTGTTTCTTTCACTTGTTCATCTTTCACTTTTAGGTTTAATAAAAATTATAGTTGTCTCTTTTGAATGGTATGTAGATGTTGTTTATCTCTATGTATCTGTTGATGGCTGATTTGTCTGTGTGCTAGGATTCCAGGAATTCTCTAACATTTTTGAGGGGGGGGGACTTGTTCTAGGATGCTCACATTAAAGGGCTCATGATGTTCGTAATACTGCTCTTCATTTTGAGTACATATTCTGCTTCCAAGTTATATGTAGTCCTCAATTAACAACCCATTCAATGACTGTTCAAAGTTACAATGACACTGAAAAAAAGTGACATTATCTTCTTTCACACTTATGACTGCTGCAGCATCCCCAAGGTCATGTGATCAAAGTGTCCAAAGTCATGGGATCATCTTTTGTAACCTTTTGACAAGCAAAGTCAATGGGGAAGCCAGATTCATTTAACAATCGTGTTACCAACTTAATTGCAGTGATTCACTTAACAACTGTGGCAAAAAAGGTCACAAAATGGGGCAAAACTCACTTAACTGTCTTGCTTAACAATGAAAACTTTGGATTCCATTGTGGTCATAAGTTGAGGACCACCTACAGTTATATGGTTACATATCCATTCAATTGAGGTATCTTTTGATTTCATGGTAGTACATAATGATAATAAACTCCTAATTTTCACGTCACATTTCATAAAAAGGCAGAATAACTTACCTACAACCACTAGCAAGGTCCATATTAAATATATTCCATTGTTGAAGCAGGTTGCATATTGTCGGAATAAGCACATACATATAGGGGGCAAGACAAAAAATAAGACGTTGCTTATCTAGAGAGAAAAGAGGAAAATATTTAAATAAGCAGAAAGAAATTACTCAATATTTTTTTCTACCAATCCTTCTCTCTGGAAGGAATTTTGCACCATTAATCAAGTAGGAGCCTTAGCAATCATAACAAAAGGGAGACCGTAATTAATCAGGGGATTCTTCTGAGTTTGTAGAGATCAAGTGAGTGAGTATAAGCTCTGCCATCTGTTGCCCAACGCCCTATTCAGCTCCTTCAGGGTAGTAGATGTTGCTGGAGTGTCTTAATCCAGCTATATTGGAAAACAATTCCCATTTCCCCTTTGAGGGATGATTTCAGAGAAGACAGTGAACTTCAGCTACAGCGGATCCTAGAAGTAAAAGGTTATTTAGATCTCTTCAAGTCAGGATCTAGCCCAGGGAAATGTATAGAAGTAGTCCTTGCTTAATGGCTGCCCCATTTAGTCATAATTCAAAGTTATGATGGAGGTGAAAAATTAACTACAGGTAGTCCTTGAGTTACTATAATTGGAACTGGCATTTTTGTCACTAAACAATGTGGTTCTAAAGCGTGACATTATATGAATGCTTTGCTTAGTGACAGCAATCGTAGCTGCTGTTGTTAACAAAATCCCACTATTGTCAGTATTTGCCCCAGACACCTCTTTCAGCTGTAATATCATAAAGCAGTTTCATGAAAACATAGAATACTTAATTCCAACTGTAGGACCTACAGCTAACTTAGCAAATATTGCGGGAATAAGTCAACAAAATCACCTCCAGTTAATCAAGTACACTGACGTTTGACTTCGTGTGGTTTATCTTCTTATATGTCCAAATAAAAACAAGTAACATAACTAAGCTTGGATGATAGGACAAGTGTACGCAAGTTAAGTTTAGCAAGCTTATTTGCACGGTGAAATTATAGTCTTTATCATCTTCAAAGCTACGCCTTTGTTTAGCATAATTTCTACACTGATATAAAACTATGGAAGTTTGTCAACCACTATAGCCTCTTAAATGTAACTGAATTTGTCCAGAATCCCCTTTTCCTAAAGCAAAATGTAAAATGACTGCAACAATTTGAGACCATTGCTTTGCTCTATCAAGTGCAATCCATTTAAGCTTTAGCCTCCAATATGAAAAGCAAACTGCTTTCGAAGAAAGTGTTTAACTAAAAACGAAAACAATCCATCCAGAAAAGCTGCAAACACTTAATATTTTTGGAATAAGAATACAAATTCATAACTTTAGAAGTTTTCTGCCATCCTTACTCATAAATGTACTAGATTAATTTAAGCAGGTCCAATTTACAGTTAAATGTTCACAACATGCTAAGCTTGGTTAGCGTTTTGGGTAGCATAGTGTAATATATTAATATCAGTTTAGTAAGCGTCATGCTTCAATATATCCTGCAGATCCCCCCCAAAAGGGGGGGGGGATTAATTCAGTAACCAGATTGTGCTGTGTGAGTGTGGTTGCCTCCTAAGGCCCAAATAACTACTACTGTAATAAAGTGTAAAACCCAACGAACTAACTGTATGTACTCTGCTGCCTTTTCACAAGGCACTAAAGAACTGGTTTTGCCATTAAACCTGGGCCCTGGTATCATGATGAGCCCATTTTAGCTGCTATTTCTGTTTTTAATTTTGGTTGGTTTTGTTTTCACTGTTTTCATTGTTAGCCATCCAGATTGAGATGGACAACCTACAAAACGAATGAATTCCTTTCTGTGTCTATTCCAGTATTCCTCAACCTTAGCAACTTTAGGAAGCGTGGATCTCAACTCCCTGAATTCCGCAGCCCGGGAGTTGAAATCCACGCACTTTTTTTAAAAAAAAAAAAGTTACTAAAGTTGTAAAACGCCGGTCTACTCAAAATTTACGCGTAGCAAAACCTCACAGAATCCTATCGCCAATCGCGTTTCAAGAAAGGCAACGGACACGTTACGTGAACATTATCGCAAGTTAAATCGTGGCTCTCTAGCCGAGTCGAGCCCAGAAACCCTGGTTTACAAACCACAATGGCACATTTTAAGCCAGAACCTTGCCCGGCACGTTACGGGGCAGCCGGGGCACTTGATGCACCGTTCCTACTTCTTCCATACCATTAAGCAAGGAGCTCAACTGGACTATTCCAGCAGCGGCTCCCAGGCACGCAACTCTTTCCAAACCCTCCGAGAGCAGTGGCAAAGAAGCGCGGGGCGATTGCAAACGTGCGCCGAGCGCCCCTCTCCCTTTGCAAAGCCCTCGGGGGCTCTCGCTTTAAAGCTCGCCCGCGGACTGATGCCCCGAGAGGCGGATGGCCGCTCCGGTTACGCACCGTGTTGTAGAACTCGGCGATGGTTGGCACGATGGTGTAGTTATCCTCGCACCAGTCCAGTTCGGAGCTGCCCGCCCTCAGATGATCCCACAAGAGGAGGGCGATCATGGCCAAACTCGCGCGTCGCCCAGCCCGCTCCTAAGACGAGGCTGCCCCGCAGAACCAACTCTGGGGGAACGCTCATCCGGCGCACCGGCTCGGCGCAGCGCAGCGCAAGGCTGCAGGAATGTTCAAAAGGCAGCCCCGCGATAGGCTCGCCGCCTGCGCCTTTTTTTCTTCTGCCTTGCCCGATTGGGAAGCGTCCCGACGTTTCACCTTTGCGCCTCTCTCGGTCCCGCTCGAGCTCCGACCGCGGGGGCAGCTCTTCCAACAGCTCCAGTGCACGCCTCCTCCCAGCTGATCCGGCTCCTGACCAGGCGGTCGTATCGCGCCTGCGCAATGGGCCGACTGTCACGTGGTGGGTTTTATTTTTTTTTCCCCCCCTTCACCGTTTGCCTGCCTGGCTAGGAGGCTGTCGCGCTCAGGCTGTGGAGCGTGGCGGGGCGCGAGTTCTAGTACCGGCAACTCGAAGCGCGGTGCAAAAGAGGGCGGCTGGCTCGACGTAACGAGAGCTTGGGCCATTTTGTTTCTGTAGTTGCAGGAGCCCTGGACCGTTTAGCCGCCCTGGCTGCAATTTGAATGCGTTTCTTTTCAAATGTAAAGCAAATTACTTCTCTTCAGTGAGGTTTTCAAGTGTGTTGGGTTCTTAATGCTTCCAGCGACCCAAAAGTGTCCTGTGCAATCAAAACGATATTTCTTTTTCTACATGGGGAGGGGGAGGGTTTAACTGCTCCAAAATTAACTGCTCAAACGGTTACGGCTTTTATGCAGTGCAAATGATACTTCAGAGAGCATGTTTCTTATTGCGCAGATGGCAATGATATAACTTGGAAACGTTCAGTTGCAAGTTCAATGTATTTAACTGCAAGTTCATATTTTTTTGGCTGCTCCCTGGAGATGGAGAACTCGGGCCAAACTTCTGGAAGCTGCCAGAAGCAGAAAGGGAAATGTTGCTGCTACCTGCCATGACATCACTTTGTATCTATAGGGGAATCCCTGGAAATAAAAATGCAAAAAAAATATTTTCTGTCTTTTCATCTTGCCCCAACTGATGTGACTAGTTGCTCGGTTATTTCCCTGTCATAAGAGAACATTCTTTACTGTTGCCTTTTCTCTACAAGGTCATAGAGCAAGCGGCTTCTTGAACTCTTCCGATGGACAAGAGAAAATATTTGCATTATATATTACCGTATTTCCACATTCCAAGCTAGTAGATCTGATTCATCTAGAACAAATGGAACAGGTATAGCAGGTGTCAAAGTGGGTTACAGGTAGTCCTTGACTACCCTGCCCATTATGGTCATAAATCCTGGTGGTCATTAAGCAAAGCAACGACATAATTCACACTAGTAATTAGCAGAGTGGCTGGGACAATAGGTCTTCCAAGCCCAGAAACTTGCATATAGAATCCAAGAAGATACCGGGAGCCTCTTTGTTGCTTCTACACCAGGGCCAAAATGTCATCTGTTGGCTCTGGAATGTGGCTGAGGTGAAAATATTTTTGCTTCTTACATTATTGGGGTTCCCGAGGGTAAATAATATTCCTTTTCTCCCATTGCATGTCCCAACACTGAGGTGAGCTAAACAGAGGTTTCAGCAAGTAGCAACCCCTGACTTTCTGGACTCATAAGTTATATAAAGCTGGTAGTTCGAGGGGAAGACACCAGAGAATTTGGTGTAAATTAGATTGGGAAATTTTAAAAAATCCTGAAAAAAGGGCAGTGGAAAGCTACTTCCATACCAAGAAAACTACGCAATTCTCAGTTACCAGGAGATCAGTTCAATTTAAGGGTGTCTTCATTTTAACAGAGGGGTAAATGTTCCCAGCATAACATAATAGTAAAAGTAGTGAAAATTATTCCTTTACCAATTGCTCTAACAAATTTCTTTTCTTACAGGAAAAAGTTCAGCACAAAAACATGATGTCTAGGACAGGGCTTTTCAACCTTTTCACCCATTGTACCACTTTTAGGATATGGCAACATCCGAGTACCACCAATTGCCTAGCAAGGTGTCAAAAACTTGATGACCAAAAACAAAAAAGGAAAAAAGTGATCAAGTACAGGTAGTCCTTGACTTACAACAGTTCGTTTAGTGACTGTTCGAAGTTACAGTGGCACTGAAAAAAGTGCCCCCCCCCAAGCCATAGCCTGCCCGCCCGGCGGCGCTCTTCCTCCTGTTCGAGGTTTTCATTGTTGTGAGCATTTCTGTTGGGGATTGGCAGCGGGGGTGGGATGGGGGAGTGTTTGGTTTTTATTCCCCCCGTCTGCTGGGTGGTTGCAGCAGGTTTGGTCACTTCACATGACCCTGGGACACTGTGACCGTCATAAATATGAATCAGCTGCCAAGCATCTGAATGTAAATCACAAGACCCTGGAGATGCTGCAACATTCTAGCTGATCGGTGCTTCTTCTGGGCTCAGCAGAAGCGCCAGGATCAGCGCCAAGCTCCAGCTGGAGCCTGGCGCTGATCCTGGCGCTTCCGCTGAGCCCTGACAGCCCCGAAGAAGCGCCGATCAGCTGGAAAGCGGCATTGATCCTGGCGCTTCCGCTGAGCTCTGACAGCCCTGCAGCTCCAGCCATCTCTCGCTCAGGCTTGTGCGGTGCTGCCACCAGTTCAGCTCATTCCCCTCTCCCGCTACCACTTTTCTAGGATGGTCGCGTACCACCTGCCAGGTGCCAATGTACCACAGGTGGTACCTGTACCACTGGTTGAAAAGCCCTTGTCTAGGAGATGACCAGGCTTGGCCCGAGGGAGAGGTCAAAAGCATCATCAGTCTTGAATTCCTTCACACCACAAGAGATCTAAGTCTAGGCCATCTTGAATTCCTTATCTACCGCCAAATTGCTTTGACTGTTAATAGTTCAGATTCTTGTAAAGAATTTAACCTTACAATAAATCTTTATACTCATTTGAACTACTGGATCTCGTGATTTCTCTGGCGCTTGACAAGATGTTTATTAATATTTTCTGGTTTGCAAGAAACTTGACAGTTTCACCATAAGCTGCAAGGTAATCTGGGAGTGTTACCTTCATAGGTGTCCCTTGGACACTCCTGTTGTTTAAGTTCTTTTGAAAGCCACAGGACCTGGCGGCAATGCCATGCTGTCATGGAAGCTGCTAGTAGCAATTATTTCCATCTAAATTATTCAGTTCTGTTGATATGACATCATTATGACACTAAGGTTTAAAGAAGACAGATTTTCTTGAGCTTTTACCATTTCACTGTTTAATGTTGAGTCAAAACGATTTTTTTTATTCTATTCCTGGCATATTTAAAAAAGAAAAAAGGAAACTCAGTTTAATCCTCTTCAGTATTTAATGCATATTAAATACTCACAGAGCAGACATCACTGACATAATTTTCCTTGTTTGCAAATGGTAGAAAGCTGTGCATAGGGATAATGAAAGAAATATGCCTATGCCTTCCAGAGGATTTCTCAGGTCACAGGGCAGGGTGAACAAATAAAATTGAACAAAGAATACTTCTTATGTCCTGCTGTCCTTATGTACAATTAGCTATAAAATTAATCTGCATGAACTACGTCCGGGAACAAGCTAGCCATGAAATGGGAGCCATCAATGCAGAGTCAAGTATGTGAGATTATTGTGAAGGGAAACCACAATATGTCAAATGCATGGGTTGGGTTCATAGATCAATCTAAAAATAAAATGAATGACTTCTCAAATTTTGTCAGAGAGTGATTCTCCCAAATTGATCAAAGAAAGAGAGAGAGATGCTAAAGACAACTCATACAACAGTAGGCAGATAATTATTATAACTTCCAAATCACCAGAAGTTGCTTTGTATCATATCAAAATATTGATCTGTCTAATCCAATATTTTGTACCTTGAGTAGCAGTGGAGCTTCATAAATAGACCTTTTTTACTGAAGCTTGTCAGACCTTTCATATGCAAAATATACTATCTTCTCTTTAATTGTGGCCTTTCCCTCAGACGAAGAAAATGTCCAATGAGTATTTTCTTGTTACCTTGTTTGTCTTCACATCCTTCTTCTGCAAATAGAAAGCATACTTTTCACCACCCACTCAAGAACACCTGATATGTCTTAATATAAAACAACAGAAAGTCACAAACTGGTCAGTATTACTCTCAAATATCAGCCACATATTAATGGGTGGCATAGAAATTTAATAAATAATGACCAACTAGATAATTACTTAATTAAAGAATCTTAATAAGTGGTTTCTCTGCTCATCAGTATGATATTCAGCTTCTTTTGAAAGAGATCATATCTCTCTTATACTGGGAATAGGTTACACGGAACCCGTGGCCCTTCTTCAGAATCTTTAGAGATTGTATCGCTAAAATTTGATGGTCAATTTTCAGGTGGTAGATATATAATCAAATGAAGATTTAACTTGCCTAGAAAATAAATATTGTCCCTCCAAAAGGGCCCAACTTCTCACTGGCCATTATGAGCCTTAGCCACTTTTTATTCTCCCCTCAACCTGTCAAACCCCAAGAACCAAGAACAACAAAAAGTAACAAGGAGTTATTTCTGAGTCATTCCCTTTATTGTTCTTCACCTATAGATAGAATCTTGGAAGGCCAAAGCAATTATTTGCATAAAAATAGATATAATCTGGGAACTACTATGTTTCCCCGAAAATAATACCGGGTCTTATTTTTTTATTTTTTTTGCCTCCAAAAGAGGCACCATGTCTTATTTTCGGGGGTATCTTTTTTACTCACCTCCTGCACCAACAGCCCCACCCCTCCCAAAAAAATCAAGCTAGGGCTTATTTTCGGGGTAGGCCTTACTTTCAGGGAAATAGTAGTAGGAAGGAGCCATTTTAACCCTCTTCATGCTGACCAAGTTTCCAAGCTGCACAGCCTCTTTGTCCTCTGGAATGCAACTTCTTCCTCCTTTGAAGCCGGACTACGTTCCACCACCCTATCTTAAAATGTGGGAGTGCTCCTAGATTGATTTATTTGTTAAACATACACAGGTGTTTTGTATACAATACAGGTAGTCCTCAACTTACAAGACAATTGAGCCTAACATTTCTGCTGCTAAGCGAGATAGTTGAGTTTTGCCCCATTTTACGACCTTTCTTACCACAGTTGTTAAAGGAATCGTTACACCTGTTAAGTTAGTAACATGGTTAAGTGACTCTGGCGTCCCCCATT